GAAGGATGAGTACAACCCCAAGAACACCATCCCAACTGTGAAGCATGGAGGTGGAAACATCATTCTTTGGGGATGCTTTTCTGCAAAGGGGACAGGACGACTCCACCGTATTGAGGGGAGGATGGATGGGGCCATGTATCGCGAGATCTTGGCCAACAACCTCCTTCCCTCAGTAAGAGCATTGAAGAAGGGTCATGGCTGGGTCTTCCAGCATGACAATGACCCGAAACACACAGCCAGGGCAACTAAGGAGTGGCTCCGTAAGAATCATCTCAAGGTCCTGGAGTGGCCTAGCCAGTCTCCAGACCTGAACCCAATATAAAATCTTTGGAGGGAGCTGAAAGTCTGTATTGCCCAGCGAACAGCCCCGAAACCTGAAGGATCTGGAGAAGGTCTGTATGGAGGAGTGGGCCAAAATCCCTGCTGCAGTGTGTGCAAACCTGGTCAAGACATACAGGAAACGTATGATCTCTGTAATTGCAAACAAAGGTTTCTGTACCAAATATTAAGTTCTGCTTTTCTGATGTATCAAATACCTATGTCATGCAATAAAATGCAAATTAATTACTTAAAAATCATACAATATGATTTTCTGGATTTTTGTTTTAGATTCCGTCACTCACAGTTGAAGTTTAACTTGTTCTCCCCACTGTATATGTTGAAGAGGGTGGTGATCAAGCTGCATCCCTGTCTCACCCCATGGCCCTGTGGAAAGAAATGTGTGTATTTTTAGCCAATATTTAGCCAATATTTACTGCACACTTGTTGTTTGTGTACATGGATTTTATGTTGTATGTTTTTCCCCCAACACCGCTTTCCATCAATTTGTATAGCAGACCCTCATGCCAAATTGAGTCAAACACTTTTTTGAATTCAACAAAGCATGAAAAGACTTTGCCTTTGATTTTGCCTTTGATTTTGTTTGTTTGTTTGTCAATTAGGGTGTGCAGGGTGAATACGTCGTCTGTCGTACGTTAATTTAGTAAAAAGCAAATTTGACATTTTCTCAGTACATTGTTTTCACTGAAGAAATGTACAAGTCTGCTGTTAATGATAATGCAGAGGAATTTCCCAAGGTTGCTGTTGACGCATATCCCACGGTAGTTATTGGGGTCAAATTTGTCTCCACTTTTGTGGATTGGGGTGATCAGTCCTTTGTTCCAAATATTGGGGAAGATGCCAGAGCTAAGGATGATGTTAAAGAGTTTAAGTATAGCCAATTGGAATTTGTGGTCTGTATATTTTATCATTTAATTTAGGATACCATCAACACCACAGGCCTTTTTGGGTTGGAGGGTTTGTATTTTGTCCTGTAGTTCATTTAATGTAATTGGAGAATCCAGTGGGTTCTGTTAGTCTTTAATAGCTGATTCTAAGATTTGTAATTGATCATGTATATGTTTTCGCTGTTTGTTCTGACTGACGACTGATCCGTGTAAAGGAAAGAATGAATGGGGCCATGTATCGTGAGATTTTGAGTGAAAACCTCCTTCCATCAGCAAGGGTATTGAAGATGAAACGTGGCTGGGTCTTTCAGCATGACAATGATCCCAAACACACCGCCCGGGCAACGAAGGAGTGGCTTCGTAAGAAGCATTTCAAGGTCCTGGAGTGGCCTAGCCAGTCTCCAGATCTCAACCCCATAGAAAATCTTTGGAGGGAGTTGAAAGTCTGTGTTGCCCAGCGACAGCCCCAAAATATCACTGCTCTAGAGGAGATCTGCATGGAGGAATGGGCCAAAATACCAGCAACAGTGTGTGAAAACCTTGTGAAGACTTACAGAAAACGTTTGACCTGTGTCATTGCCAACAAAGGGTATATAACAAAGTATTGAGAAACTTTTGTTATTGACCAAATACTTATTTTCCACAATAATTTGCAAATCAATTCATTAAAAATCCTACAATGTGATTTTCTGGATTTTTTTTCCTAATTTTGTCTGTCATAGTTGACGTGTACCTATGATGAAAATTACAGGCCTCTCTCATCTTGTTAAGTGGGAGAACTTGCACAATTGGTGGCTGACTAAATACTTTTTTCCCCCACTGTAACTCCACCATTCCTACCGATAATATCATTTACGAAGATTATACCTTTTTTTTTTAAATTTCTCAAAAAATAACATTTAAAAAAAATCAATTAGTACATTTGAGTTTAACCACAATATTTGTTGCAATATTTGTTCTGTCATTTCTGGAGGATTAAATTGAAATTGCAACCAACTTTCTATGGCTTGTTTTAGAAATAGTGACATTTGGGAGATGATTTCCTTTTCAAATACCTGAAAGTGAGGGGTTGTAAACTGAATAAAGGGAAAAAGTCCCTTCTTGAACATTGGGTGAGACAATCTTACTAGTTTGCTAGAGAACCAGTTCGGATTTAAGTATAATTTTTATATGACTGAAGCTTTTAGTGATAGGTCTAATGCTTTAATATTTAATAATTTCTGTTTTCCGAATTCATATTCATTATATTAATAGGCCCGTTTAATTTTGTCTGGCTTGCCGTTCCAAATAAAATGGAGTACTTTTTTTCTCATATAATTAAAAAAACTGTTCGCTAGGTGTAGGCAAGACCATAAGCAAATAGGTAAACTGGGATAATACTAAAGAGTTAATCAGGGTGATTTTTCCACAAATTGACAGGTATTTACCTTTCCATGGTAGCAAGATCTTATCTATTTTTGCTAACTTTCTATTAAAATGTATTGGAGTGAGATCATTTATTTCATATGGGATATGTATTCCGAGTATATCCACATCACCATCAGACCATTTTATTGGTAATCTACAAGGTAATGTAAAAATTGTATTTTTTAGTGATCCAATACGTAATATAGTACATTTATCATAATTTGGTTGTCCGCCTTCTGTCCCCTATCAACACTTTTTAAACTTTTGGTGCCAACGAGAATGACATAAGAAAGAAGTCAAGATGACTAGCTTGATTGAGTCTCCGCCATGTATATCTCACTAGATCAGGATATTTAAGCCTCCATATATCTACTAGTTCTAATGTATCCATGACATTCACGATTTCCTTAAGAGCATGAGGGTGATTGTTTGTAGTGTGATTTCCTTTACGGTCCATTGAGCTATTTAAAACTGTATTATAATCTCCCACCATAATAATAGAGTCTTGAATTGCTTGCAAGGTCAATAATTTATTATATATATATATATATATTCAAAGAAGTGTGGATCATCATTATTTGGTCCTTGTTATAGAGCCAGAAAGATTGGAGAATCTCCATTTTGGATAGATAAGTCATATTGTTGTTTGTTTAGTGTGTTCCAATTTTCACGGAAGTGGTTAGATTCAATGTATTCTTCAATTACATTGAGCTGATTTCTGATGTGTTGTTCCTTCTTTTTCTATAGTGCATTTCTGTATTGTTTTAGTGATTTACCATAGTGAAGGCTTAGACTCAGGTTTTCTGGGTGTCTATGTTTTTGGTTGGATAGGTTCTCAATTTCTTTCTTAGGTTTTTGCATTCTTCATCAAACTATTTGTCATTGTTTTGAATTTTCTTAGGTTGTCTGCTAACATTTTTAGATTTGATAGGGAAGCTGAAAGGTAAAATATACTGTTTAGGCTTTCTACTGCCAAGTGTACACCTTTACTATTACAGTGAAATGTTTTGTCCAGGAAGTTTTCTAAAAGGGACTGAATTTGTTGTTGCCTAATAGTTTTTTAGTAGGTTTCTACACTACTTTCCTTCCATCTATAGCATTTCTTAATATTGTGCAGTTCCTTTGGTTTTAATGCCTCATGATTGAGTATGGCTCTGTTCAAGTAGACTGTGATTTTTCTGTGATCTGATAGGGGTGTTAGTGGGCTGACTGTGAACGCTCTGAGAGACTCTGGGTTGAGGGCAGTGATAAAGTAATCTACAGTACTACTGCCAAGGGATGAGCTGTAGGTGTACCTACCACAGGAGTCTCCTCGAAGCCGACCATTGACTATGTACAGACCCAACGTGCGACAGAGCTACAGGAGCTGTGAACCGTTTTTGTTGGTTGTTTTGTTATAGTTGTGTCTAAGGGAATACTGTCACTTCCAGGTAGGTGTTTGTCCCCCTGTGTGCTGAGATTGTCAGGTTCTTGTCCAGTTCTGGCATTTAGGTCACCACAGACTAGTACATGTCCCTGGAAATGGTTGATCTCCCCCTCTAGGATGGAGAAGCTGTCATCGTTAAAGTATGGGGATTCTATTGGGGGGATATAGGTAGCACACAGGAGGTAGCACTCTGTTGAGATCATTTCCTTATTAATTTCTAGCCAGATGAATTTTTTTCCTGTTTTTACTAATTTAATAGAGTGGGTTAGGTCTGCTCTATACCAAATTAGCGTACCCCCTGAGTCTCTTTCCTGTTTCACACCTGCTAGTTTGGTGGATGGGACTACCAGCTGTCTGTAACCTAGAGGACTACCAGCTGTCTGTAACCTGGAGGACTACCAGCCGTCCCTTTTTTCTCTCCTCAGTCCATGGGCTTAGCATAGTTAATATGAAGGGGGATGTCGGTCAGTGTGCTGTGCTGTGCTGTAATCTAAATGTGATCAAGGGTCTGAGACGCTGGGTTGCTCATCATTCTGTCAGACATGGTAATCAGCCTTCCCCGGAGGCAGACTCAGTCCCTCATGTAGCCACCACAGCGCTCTAGAATGATAATTCATCTGCATGCTGAATATTTAGTATCTTTATGTAAGAGGGAGGATGGATTAGATTAGCTTGTTTCAGGCCCAGGGCTTCTGTTTACGCTGTATGGAACATCACAAGCTTCCAAGACTGTTATTGCACGATCAGTGCAGAATGTGCCGACTATGTGTGTTTGCGTGTGCATACTTTAATATAGGTCATAAATCTGTAACCCTTTCTTTGCTGTGTATATTTTAAGTCTATAACCCACTGCTTTCTGTACTTTCTACATGTCTAAGTGTGTAACCCTCTCTCTGATGTGGTGTATAGATTTGAACTGTAACCCTCTGTGTCCCCTGTAGGTGGATGAGCTGTATGAGGCGTTCTGTATCCAGCACAGGCTGAGGGAGGGAGCCAGTAAGATGAAGCAGGCCTTCTCTGCCTCTCCCTCCACCAAGGCCACCAGAGAGAGCATGTCAGAGGTCAACCGCAGATACAAGGAGTACACAGAGGTATAGATACATGCACGCATGCGTGCACATACACAAATATACTGTGTAATCATCAGTCCATTCACCGTCACCATACGATCACCCACTGAGATCTAACACAGTTCTGGTGCCTGATGTCAGAGTTTGATGAATGAGTTTGGTTTGTCTCCAGTTGTTTTTAGTTTTTGTGCTGATCCTTCTCCTTTCCTCCTCAGGATATGAGCACGTTAGAGGGGGAGCTGGAGAACATGTTGGGGGAGTTCCATATCAAAATGAAAGGTAAGACGGAGGCCAGTGGAACAGCCGTTAGAGTAGAGGTATCGCATAGGGAAGACTGGAGACAAACGAGCAATGATTGATTTTACACAACAATTATCTCTTCATCTCTCTCTCTCTTTCGCTGTCTCGCTCTCTCTCTCTGTCTCTCAATCTCTGTTTCTCTTCCCCCTCTCTCTCTCTCCATCTCCCTCTCTCCCTCCTCCTCTCTCACAGCCTCCCTCTCCTCTCTCTCTCTCCTCTCTCGCCCCATTCTCTCTCTCTCTCCCTCACTCTCTGCTCTCCCTCCTCTCCTCTCTCTCTCTCTTTCTTCTCCGTCTCTCTCCCACCCCTCTCTCTCTCTCTCCGCTCTTCTCTCTCGCTCTCTCTCTCCATCCCTCTCTCTCTCTCCATCCATCCCTCTCTCTCTATCCATCCCTTTCTCTCTCTCCATCCATTCCCCGCTCTCTTCCTCTATCGCATCCCTCTCTCCTCTCCTCCTCTCATCTCTCCCGGGGCCGGGGGCCTCTCCCGTTTCCATCTTCCCTCTCTCGGTCTCTTTTTTCTCTCTTCCCCTTTCCCTGCCTCTCACCCCTCCCTTTAATCCTCTCGGGGGCTTCCTCCCCCCCTTCCTCATAACTCGGGGTCCTTCTCTCTCTCCTCCTTTCTCCTTCTCTCTCTCGGTTTTTTCTCTCTTCCCCCCTTTTCCCTCCCCCTCCACTTCGGGCCCTTTCTGGCTTTCCGTTTTCTGTCCCGGAAAACCATATGAGGGTTAGTTAAAAAAGAAAGGGCCCTCTCTACATCAAGTAACAACTATATATTTTTCCCCAAACCCGCGGGCTGGCCTTCCCAAAAAGGGACTTTTGAATTTATCAAAAAACTGTTTTTAGGTTCCCTTTTTAAATTCTTTCTCCTTGGGGTTAAAACTCTATTCCCAACTGCTTCCTCTCCTTCCCCCCCCTCTTTTTTTTCTCCCCCCCCCCCCCCCCCCTCTCTCCTTTTTTCTCTCACCCCTCTCTCTTTCCCCTCCCCCCTTTTCTGGGTTTTCTTACCCCCCTCCCTCTTTTCTTCCCCACCCCCCTCTCTTTCTCTCACCCCCCCTCCCCTTTTTTCTCACCCCCCCTCCCTTTCCCCTCACCCCCCTCCCCCCCCTTTTCCTTTTCCCCTCACCCCCCCTCTCTTTTTTTCTCTCACCCCCTCTCTCTTTCTCTCACCCCCCCCTCTCCTTTTTTCTTAACCCCCCCTCCTTTTCTTTAACCCCCCCCCCTTTCCCTTTTCCCCTTCCCCCCCTTTTACCACCCCCCCTCTCCCTTTCTCTTTCCCCCCCCCCCTTCTTTTTCCTCACCCCCCTCTTTCTCTCACCCCCCCTTTCTCTTTTTCTTTACCTCTTCTCTTTTCCCTTTTTCCCCCTCCACCCTCCCTTTCCCTCTCTCTCTTTTTTCCCCCCTCCCTCCATCCTCCCCCCCCCCTCCATCCCTCCTTTAATCTTTTTGGGGGTTGGGCGTCACCTGGAAGCTGAAGGGGAAGATAGAGGTGAACTCCAGACAGAGTTGGGACGGAGAGGAGATGGTTTTCATGCCCCTCATCACAGACCTCATCAACATCAAGGTACACATGACATTGCTATATCATATGATGCGGTTGGTTTGCTGAAATGTTAAATACCTATCCAGGCGTTCTGAGATCTGTCATGAGTCTGCAATGTATTCCGTTTTGAATTCTACCCCTGTCAAACCATTTCTGAGGGCAAACCACAGTCCTCCAAAGGTTCTGAAGCCAAATTACCTTTGACCCCTGGTCCCAACATTCTGTCTTTGGTCCAATCAGGTGACAGAGCTGAAGGTTCTAGCCACACATCCTGGTGGGAAGTGTGATCTGACCTCTAACTTCCTGTCTCTGGTCCAATCAGCTCTAACTTCCTGTCTGTGGTCCAATCAGGTGACGGAGCTGAAGGGCCTGGCCACTCACATCCTGGTGGGCAGTGTGATCTGTGAGACCAAGGATCTGTTCACCGCCATGCCTCAAGTGGTGGCTGTAGACGTCAACGACCTGGGAACCATCAAACTCAACCTGGAGGTCACATGGTGTAAGTCAGTGTTTCCTAAACTAGGGGTCGTGACCCCATGTGAGGTCGCCTGATTTGAAAATGGGGTCGTGCGAGATAAACTCGCTTGATTCATAGAACCGGGGTTACTTCAGTAACCTCTGGTAGCCGCTAGATGTGGTCGTAATGAACAGAGCAGTTTGTGTTTTCTACCTACAAATGTGGCTCAATATTTACGAACCTTTTAAGCTACAAAATATTATGACCCCTTCACTGAAAGAAAAAAGTTTGGGAACCCCTGTTGTAAGTGGACTTCATTAAATGTCTATTTGAGTGTGTACATGTTTTTAAGGTATGACTAGTGACTGTTGAATCTGAATCAGTTCACATGGAGTTATTAGTGTTGTCAAGGAGCAGAAAAACATCAACAACAACTTAAAAACAGCAAAACAAAGCATCCTTTAGGACGTAGTATTATAAACTACACAATACTACAGCGGTTAGTTACATCAGTTTATGTTGTGTAAGTGATGAAGTTATGCTGTAACGCTGCCCTCTTCTGGAGAACCTGGGTGTCTGCTCCAGTGTTACGGCAGCATTAACCTAGTAGTTTATAGTTCTTTAATGGACTCCTTTCCCCTTCTGACTGTCTCTCTGTTCTCCCCCCATGCAGTCCATTCGATGTGGAAGACCTGACCCTGTCTTCAGGGAACGTGAGCAAGGCCACCGCCCTCCAGAGGCGGGTGTCTGTGTACAGCCAGGGCACGCCTGAGACACCCACCTTCCAGGACCAGTCCTTCTTTGTGAGTACCGCACAGAGCCTCCTCTCCCTGGGGTGGGATAGGGGAGGGGAGTGGGTGTCCCATTGCTGTCTTATAACACATCACACTGCTCACAGCACTGGATTCCTCATTGCACTAACCCACTAACACAGCCCTTGTGTTGACTGGATTGCTTTAAACTGTGAAACCAACAGCTTATGTCTGTCTATGAATGCAATGCAATGGCCAAGTCTGACTAACCCTAACCCACCCATCCCTCCCTCCCTCCCTCCCTCCCTCCCTCCCTCCCTCCCTCCCTCCCACCTCTCACCTATTCCTCCTCCCGCCCCTGCCTCCCCTGCTCCCTGTGTGTGTGGTAAAGAAGTGGCACCCCCGTCCCTCCCCGACCCAGCATCGCCTGTCCTTCCTCCATGGCCTGAGGAACTCCCTGTTAGAGAAGCTGAGACGCAGTCGCTCCTTTGGCGACCTGGCCTCCCTCCGCCCCAGGCCCAAGTCCAGCCTGGAGGTGTATGTGAGTGAGGTGTGCTACGCTAGGGCTAGTCCTGTTTACCCCTGCCTGTGTGGCTGTGCCTGCTTATTTGTTAGCATGGAGTGGCTTGTGTCAGCCTGTGTAGAACAGTAGAAGTAGTAAAGAGTTTGCTGTGATGCTCTTCTCTCTCTCTCTCCAGTCCACCCTCCCTGACGACGTCTTTGAGAACGGTGGGTGTGGCAATGCCGAGTGCAAGCGACTCTCCTTCACCTTCTCCGATACTTCAGTCTCCTCCCCCAGCCTCGCCCCCGGCCAATCCAACCCTGAAATCACCGTCACGCCCCCTGAGACCTACCCCCAGTCCCAAATCCCCAACATTGAAGTCACCAAGGAAGAGACTGTTCGAATACATGCAGACGTAGTGGAAGAGGCAGAGGAGGGTGAGGAGGAAGAGGAGAGTAGCGGTAGCAGCGGCAGCGTGAGTGCCAGCCTGGTCAGCGAGGAGGCAGAGTCATGAGTGGGAGAGGGCGGAGTCCCAGTGTAACGGAGGCTCCGTCTCTCTCTTCTCGCAGCGGCAGTTGTCTGCGGTCGCTCCTGGGGGTGTGTTTCTGGAACACACTGCGCCGGACAGGGATGAAGATGAGGATGACAGGTAACAGATTTATGTTTTGTCTTTATGATGTGCAGAGGCCAAACAAATCTCCCCTATAGGGACAATGAAATTGTATTGTAACGTATTCTATTAAATGGTATTCTATTGTTAGCTCAGAGCTGCTGAAGCCCGTAGAACTTGACACTGAAGAACCAGGCAGCTTGACCAGGCAGCTGGTGAGGAGGCTGACATCGTCTGACATTCTGCCCGAGGCGGGGGTTCTGAGCTGGGCTGGGGAGGGGAGCAGGGCCTTCCTGGAGAGCAGCCTGGAGGAGACCCTGCAGAGTCTGCTACTGAGGCTAGAGTCACTGGGACAACGCTGTAGAGAGCTGCAGGACCTGGAACAGGAGGTGATGCGCCTGGAGGACCTGCTCAAGGTGAGGCCTGCACTTTCTCCTCAAGCAACTGTGTGTACATCACAGGGTTGGGGGTCAATGCAATGTTAGCTGAATTTGACATTTCATTTCTCCGTAGGAATTCATTTCAATTCCTGAATTGACTTCAGACAGAATTGACCCCAACCCTGGTGCATTACCTGTTACATTTGACATTTTAGTCATTTAGCAGACGCTCTTATCCAGAGCGACTAACAGGAGCAATTAGGGCTAAGTGCCTTGCTCAAGGGCACATCGACAGATTTTTCACCTACTCGGCTTGGGGATTCGAACCAGCGACCTTTCGGTTACTGGCCCAATGCTCTTAACCGTTAGGCTACCTGCAGTTCAAACTGGGGCTACATTGTTTGTGTTGCTTTTTATGGAAATGTTTTATCTGCTGAGAATTTTGTACGAGCGGTAGTTTATGTTAGTTGTTTATGTACACAAGTTGTATTGTGACTGTAGCCTAATTGTAGCCTTGAGATACAGTTCGATCCCCTATGGCTGCAAGTCCTCTCTCCCTCAGTAGGAGGCCAACCTATCCCCTATGGCTGCAAGTCCTCTCTCCCTCAGTAGGGAGGCCAACCTATCCCCTATGGCTGCAAGTCTCTCTCCCTCAGTAGGAGGCCAACCTATCCCCTATGGCTGCAAGTCCTTCTCTTCCCTCAGTAGGAGGCCAACCTATCCCCTATGGCTGCAAGTCCTCTCTCCCTCAGTAGGAGGCCAACCTATCCCCTATGGCTGCAAGTCCTCTCTCCCTCAGTAGGAGGCCAACCTATCCCCTATGGCTGCAAGTCCTCTCTCCCTCAGTAGGAGGCCAACCTAGTCTGATACAGTTCGATCCCCTATGGCTGCAAGTCCTCTCTCCCTCAGTAGTCTGGCGTTACCAGACAACGTATTCAACCCACACCCTGCAGGCTTTTTCAGGGTCTGATCTCTCCCTCAGTGCCGCCTCCCGGGCCACAGGAGCAGGTCGTCCAGCCTCAGCCTGATGGTTGAGAGCGCCCTGGAGAGCTTTGACTTCCTCAACACCTCCGACTTCGACGACGATGACACGGGTGATGACCAAGCCCTCCACCGCACCGTGTTCTTTGACATGGAGGCGGAGAGCATCGGGTGAGTCAGGAGGGAGGGACGGGAGGAGGAGGAAGTCCCCTCCCCGGTCCTCTCTCTAGTCTACTACCCCCTCTGTCCCTGCCTGGAAGATGGTGGTAGTGGTGGTGACCCTGCCTCTCCTTCCATCTGTCTTCTAACCCCACTGTCCCTCCACAGCTCTCCACAGCTCTCCACGGCCAATGAGATTCTACTGGGCCTGTGTGTGTGTGTATCTGTGTGTGTGGACTGAACCCAGGATGTCTCTCTCCCCCAATCTCTCTCCCCCCCCCCCCCCATCTCTCGTATCCCTCCATCTTGACTCTCTTCCCCCTATCCTGTTCTGCTCCCCCATTCTCTTCTCGCCCCCCATCTAGTGTATCTCTCCCCCATCTCTCTCTCCCTCCCCCATCCTCTCCCTATCCCCCCTATCTGTATCGTCTCTCACTCCCCCTATCTGTGTCTCTCTCCTCCCCCCCAATCTCTCTCTCCCCAATCTGTCCTATACTCCCCCCTATCTGGTGTCTCCTCCCCCCATTTCTCTTCTCTCCCCCTATCTGTGTCTCTCCCCCACCTCTCTCCACATCTCTATCTCTACCCCCTATCTGTGTCTCTTCTCCCCCCTATCTGGTGTCTCTAATCACACCCATCTCTGTGTCTTCCTCCCCCCAATCGTCTCTTCCCCCCTATCTCTCTCTCCTCCATATGTCTCTCTCCCCCATCTGTCTCTCTCCCCCATCTGTCTCTCCCGCCCTATCTGTGTCTCTCTCTCCCCCATCTGTCTTCTCCCCATCTGTCTCTCTCCCCATCTGTCTCTCTCCCCCATCCCCCCCCCATCTGTCTCCCCCCCCATCTCTCCCCCTATCTGTCTCTCCTCCCCTCCTGTCTGTCTCTCCAGTCCTGTGCCTCTGTGCAGTGGAGTCAGGTTAGCAGTCTAGGCAGGTGTAGGTTATCTCTGGGTTAGCAGTCTCAGGCAGGTGTAGGTTATCTCTGGGTAGCAGCTCAGGCAGGTGTGGGTTATCTCTGGGTTAGCAGTCTCAGGCAGGTGTAGGTTATCTCTGGGTTAGACTGTTGTCTTGTGACTGTGTCCTGTATGTTATGTGGTGTGATTGTGAATGTTGTCGGTCCTCTGTGCAGGCCTAACAGTGTTCAGGCTTGGTTTGTTTGTCTATGTCCCATGTGTCTCTCTGGCCATGTCCCTCTCATATCTTCTTGTATGCTTGGCTTTCTTCTGGTCTTCTTCTTCCTCTCGTCTCTCTTATTCTTCTTCTTCCTTACAGTCTTCTTCGTATTCTTCTTCTTCTTCTTCTTCCTTTCTTCCTTAGTCTTCGTCTTCTTCTTCTTCTTCTTCTTCTTCTTCTTCTTCTTCTTCTTCTTCTTCTTCTTCCTTTTCCTGTTAGTCTCTGGCACCCACTTCCTGTCCAAGTCACAATCACTCGATACATAAGTAGCAATTTTGTTAGCCAGTAAATGATTGTCTGTACCATAGCCTCTATATTACGATGGAAAAATTACTTAAAGGTGCAATATGCAGGAAGCGCTCTGCCATTTCCTGGTTGCTAAAGTTCCAATAGTTTGCCTAATTTCAGTTTATGTGTAAAAACAAGCAGTCAGTGTAGAGAATCATTGTACCATCTAAACTGCTGTGAAATATATTTTCAATAACCAAAAATATTGTTGTTTCAGCTGTTTGAAGCTGGTGTACAAAACTGAAAGTAAAAGAGTCAAAAACGAAACTTAAGAACGGGAAGCATAGAAATAGCCCACATAGAACAGATCTACCGCTTCTTAGACTTGCTTGCAATGAGAATGACAGATCTATAACTCACATTTCTATGTGAATTTGGTCGGGGTCGCCCAAAAAGTTACATATTGTAGCTTTAAATTAATGGATTTATACTGCATTTAACTCTAGCATCCCATATCATGCTGATTCACATACTGTTATATTCTAATGGCTTTAGTAGTGATTGTAGTGCACTTCTATACCCTGCTGCTGCCCTCTGGTGACTGTGCATATCTCCTGTCTGTCTTAACAGGCCTGGGAGCCCGCACCCAGAGGCCAGGGGCCACCTGAGTGAAGCCCTGACGGAGGACACCGGGGTGGGCAACAGTGTGGCCGGCAGCCCCCTGCCTCTTACCACCGGCAATGAGAACCTGGACGTGGCCATCGTCATTCACCTGCAGTACTGCGACCATCTCATCCAGGTGAATTAAAAGATGTTCCAGTGCCATCAGAGGCTTTGGATGGAACTCTGGAAAATGATATTTCTAATTGATAACAATCTAACGTAATAGACTCCGACATGCAAACTAATTATGGAGCGGTTGTAGAATTGTTTTTGCATTGATCTAATAGTGCGGGATGGAAGATCTCCTATCATTAATTGGCCACGACTATGTGCCACTGTATAGTAATGTGTATGTGTGTAATGACAGCTTCTGTCCAGTGGGGGGAGCCCTTGGCAGCGTCGAGCCCAGCTCCAGAAGCTCTCAGCTCAGACTCAGCTGTTAGAGGAACTGGGAGAGATCAGCACAGAACTCCTGGGGAGCATCACCTCTGCTGCTGACGGTGGGTACTCTACTCTGGTCTACTCTGGAGCAGGGGAGAGAGTCATGGGAGGAGTGAGACTTGAGGGGACTAATTCACTGAGCAGTGTGTTTGTCTTTCTGACTTACACATTGCACATGTATCTATAACCTAATAATACATCTCCGTCTGTCCCTCTCTCTCAGTGCTCCCAGGGCTGGCGGAGCGGCCTGCCCGGATGGCTCTGTGGTCGGAGTGTAGTGGTTCTGGAGCGCTGTTCCACACTACGCTGAACAGGGTGCTCAGACACATGCGCCACAGCTACACCAGCCCACTGCAGGAGAGACACCCTCACACCGCAGCTGACACAGGTAGGGCCTTTTCTTTGTGTGTGTCATAAAATGTATAACTACTGTATTGTGTTTAACTATGTGTGTCCAACATACAGTACTTTGCAAATGCAACTTATTTCTATGTGAAAACTGAAATGGTTTATTCATTCCTTTTTCCATTTAGTATGCCTATTGAGTATCATATTGTGATTGTCTTGTATATATATTAAGGATTGATTGTTGTATATATTAGGGATTGATTGGTGTATATATTAGGGATTGATTGTTGTATATATTAGGGGTATTTGAGACCAGGGAGACGTACCTGTTGTTTATTGGAAATGGAACTGGACTACTTAGCTCAATTTATGAAACAAACAACAATTTTGTCTCATTGTTTGTTGCCACTACAATTGCCGCTTGATGAGGTGAAAAAACAAACCTTGCTGCATCCCCCCCCTCTCCAAAAGGGCATCCCCCCCTCCCTCTCCAAAGGGCATCCCCCCCTCCCTCTCCAAAAGGGCATCCCCCCCCTCCCTCTCCAAAAGGGCATCCCCCCTCCCTCTCCAAAAGGACCACAGTGGAAATAAGCTTTTAAGCTTTATTGTGTTCTCCTGGATGATTTTCTTAAATTGTATGTGGAGGCGTCACCGGCTGGAGTGCCCTTATGTATGTATGTATGTATTTAAAAAATGGTCTAATAAATTCAATCAATCAACGGGTGTGGCTGAAATAGACGAATCCACTCATTTGAAGGGGTGTCCACATGCTTTTGTATACAGTGCATTCGGAAAGTATTCAGACCCCTTGACTTTTTCCACATTTTGTTATGTTACAGCCTTATTCTAAAATTGATTAAATTGTTTTTTTCCCCCCTCATCAATCTACACACAATACCCCATAATGAGAAAACAAAAACAGGTTTTTAGAAATTCTTGCAACTGTATAAAAAAAACTGAAATATCACATTTACATAAGTATTCAGACCTTTTACCCAGTACGTTGTTGAAGCACCTTTGGCAGCGATTACAGCCTTGAGTCTCCTTGGGTATGACGCTACAAGCTTGGCACACCTGTATTTGGGGAGTTTCTCAGATTCTTCTCTGCAGATCATCTCAAGCTCTGTCAGGTTGGATGGGGAGCATCGCTGCACAGCTATTTTCAGGTCTCTCCATAGATGTTCGATCGGGTTCAAGTCCGGGCTCTGGCTGGGCCACTCAAGGACATTCAGAGACTTGTCCCGAAGCCACTCCTACATTGTCTTGGCTATGTGCTTAGGGTTGTTGTTCTGTTGGAAGGTGAACTTTCGCCCCAGTCTGAGGTCCTGAGCGCTCTGGAGCAGGTTTTCATCAAGGATCTCTCTGTAATTTGCTCCGTTCATCTTTCCCTCGATCCTGACTAGTCTCCCAGTCCCTGCTGCTGAAAAACATCCCCACAGCATGATGCTGCCACCACCATGCTTCACCGTAGGGATGGTGCCAGCTTTCCTCCAGACCAGAGAATCTTGTTTCTCATGGTCTGAGAGTCTTTAGGTGCCTTTTGGCAAACTCCAAGCGGGATGTCATGTGCCTTTTACTGAGGAGTGGCTTCCGTCTGGCCACTCTACCATAAAGGCCTGATTGGTGGAGTGCTGCAGAGATGGTTGTCCTTCTGGAAGGTTCTCCCATTGGATTCTTGGTCACCTCCCTGAGAAAGGCCCTTCTCCCCCGATTTCTCAGTTTGGCCGAGCAGCCAGCTCCAGGAAGAGTCTTGGTGGTTCCAAACTTCTTCCATTTAAGAATGATGGAGGCCACTGTGTTCTTGGAGACCTTCAATTCTGCAGAAATGTTTTGGTACCTTCCCCAGATCTGTGCCTCGACACAACCCCGTCTCTGAGCTCTACAGACAATTCCTTCGACCTCATGGCTTGGTTTTTGCTCTGGCATGCACTGTCAACTGTGGGACCTTATATAGACAGGTGTGTGCCTTTCCAAATCATGTCCAATCAATTGAATTTACCACAAGTGGACTCCAATCAAATTGTAGAAACATCTCAAGGAGGATCAATGGAAACAGGATGCATCCAAGCTCAATATCGAGTCTCATAGCTAAGGGTCTGAATACTTATGTAAAAAGGTATTTCTGTTTTTTCTTTTTAATAAATTTGCTAAAATTTCTTAAAAACCTGTTTTCACTTTGTCATTATGGGGTACTGTGTGTAGATTGATGAGGGAAACATGTATTTAATCCATGTTAGAATAAGGTTGTAATGTAACAAAATGTGGAAAAAGTGAAGGGGTCTGAATACTTTCCGAATGCACTGTATTTAGTGTATACAAAGTTTATGACAAGTATGTTTGTGCTTGTCTGATTGGTTATATAATATCAATAATATGCCATTTAGCAGACGTTTTTATCCAAAGCGACTTAGTCATGCGTGCATATATAATTACACCATAGTGTGTAGTGCAGCAGAACTGTCACTGTATACATCTCACACGGCTGTCTCTCTCTTCCCTCACCAGTGATCCAGCTGGTGGTGAGTGAGATGGTGGACAGGAGTGATCTGGCCTCCACCCCTCCATCGGCCCTGTCCCAGGACGTCGTCACGGTGTTCCAGTTCTACAGCTATGTCTCAGAGCACAGCGTGGAAGACATGGAGGAACACCTACTGCAAGTGGCCAGGGAAGGTAAAGGCTCAGGACAAACACACATTCTGCTGCAACCAACATCCATCTATTCTCTTCTGTTTGGGGGGTCCTAGGATACTAAATTACTCGGAGGCTTAGTTGTTCATAGTCTAGGTGCCCGTCTGTTTTGCTTCAACTAACATGTTGCTGTTTGGCAAGACAATGATGGAGTGTTGAATGTAGAACCAGTCAGAAACCCAAGATAGAGGTCTGATGGTTTGATAAAGACTGACATGCTGACCACACCGCCCGCGTTGCAAAATAAATGTACACATACGTGTTATTCAATCATTGCACCCAAACTGCTCGCGCGCGTCAACGAGCATCTACGTTGCCAGGCGCTAAAATAGAACTCGGTTCTATTTGTGACGCGCTGCAAGTCCCGCCTCTCCCATCTCCTCATTGGTTTTTAGGAGCATATACCCACGTGGGTGATTGAAAGTTGAACTGAGGTCCACACTCCAGTCCAGTTGGTGGTGGCAATGCACCTTAAAGTTGGTTGACAACCGCCATATAACGTCCACAGAAGAAGAAGAAGACGACTGAAGGAGGAGAGATTACTAGAACTAACTAGGTTTACATTTTTACATAAAAGGTTTCCCCTTTTAACTGTGGATTAATTGTTGGAGTAGAGAACACACACTTTTGTGTGACTCAAAATGGGTCAAAATTCTACAAAGATCCAGAAAAAAAGGACCTTGTGTATTTCAGGTAAAATAACAACCAAATGTTTATATCCCAGGACAGATTAGCTAGCAACCACAAGCTAGCTAGATAACTGTCCATGAATGTTTCATGTGATCCGACCTGTAGTTGGTTCAGAGTTCGTTTTGATATTTCAACCTGCGTGTCCTGATCGCGTCTGGTGTGGATGGACAAAATCAACATGCGCACGACGGCGTACGCACATGCGTGCCCGGTGTAGTCAGCATGAGAGGGGTCCAAACATGAACAGACTTGCTACATGGTCCACTGAACAAAACTAGCTTGTAAGTACCTGTGAGTTAATTTAGTTGTCCTCCCCTCAGCTGTGTTTGCAGAGGGCCTGAGTGGCGGTGACTCGGAGCGTTGTCTAAAGGAACTAGAAGAGATGTCACACACCGGCCTGTGTCCCCGGCTGCAGACCCTCAGGGCTCTGGCCTCGCTCCTCTCCCACGAAGACCCCCAGCTCAGCAAGGCTGCAGCTGCCTACATCACTTCTGCTGCCTCACACACACCCTTCAGGTCAAAGGTCAGTCTGTGCATGTCAGTAGGGTTGATCCTTGACCCACTCAGGCTAAATTAAACCCAGCCCTAATATAAACACCATTATGTCAAGGCCATTAAACACCGTCTGTCAAGGCCATTAAGCCTGCCAAGATTACTGGACAGTTGCTATGGCAGGGCAGTAACCGAGTTTGTTTTCTCTGTGTGTCTTTACAGGCAGTGGATTGCTACACACAGGCCTTGTGGGAGGCGGAAGTTCAAACACAAAGGTCTGCCTGTGCTGCTCTTAGCTGTCTACAGGTCAGTGTAGCTAATCACTTTTAGCTATAGAACAACTGACATATTCATTTGATGTATCTTATTATGACGTCTCTCTGAAGCAAGAGGATGTCCTATTTCTTTCTACGTCTCAGGCAGTAGAGAGCATCCGGGCGGTGGTATCACTGTGTGACTCGGCGGACGAGGAGCTTCGCCACGTTGCCATAGAAACCCTGCTCACTTTCGGTGAGTGACAGTTTGACAAAAAATCTCCTGTCTATTTTAGCCCCAATCAATGTCTGTTTTAAGAAATATTAATTTGATTGATTTGTTAAACAGGTGAGGAGGGTCGTCTGGCGTATGAGCAGCTGGACACGGTACCCAGAGAGCTGGTACGACTGGGGACACGGCGAGGGAACGCCGTCACCACTGCCTTCTGAAAGCACAGGACTAACTAACTTAACCCAGGAGCATCACATCCACATGAGGGGGACAACCCCCCCCCCCCCCCCCCCCTAGAACAACTTACCCTAGCCTCCCCCTGCTGTGCCTGTGCTTTGAGCCGTGCAGATTGGACATGCGTTTAAATGGACAGAGCCAGGGGGCGGGGCCCCATCAATGCAGAGGAGCCCAACTAAACATCAAAGGGCCACATGTCTCGTCCTTATCAACAGCCTGGTCTAAGTCCTAGCTGTCCAATCTCTGACCACCACTATTCATCCATCTCTCACCGCACAGACAGAGCATCTTAACCATCATAACTTATCATATATGATTATTATCACGGTTGCGTTTGACGTCAGTATTACGATTTATGATATCTTTATATAACTGCTATTCATTTGTTTTAGTAGGTGACGTTCATTAGGCAACGGTTATTTGCGCTGTGGCAGGCATGTAAATATAATAATACAACATTATACTCTGTGTAATAATGTGTGACACACCTGAACTGGATTGATTTGGTGTTTGTTCTTCTGGTATGTACCGTTGAATTTCAGGGATTTTAAAGACAGTTTGAACACTTTCTGTCAAATTGCACGGAAGGAGGTAGTTAAAAGCAATGTTCGCATGTCATCATCAGCATGCACAAAGAAGGCAGTGTCTTTCCCTAGATAGTAGTTACCAGTAAGCAATGTTCTCACGTCATCAACATGCACAATGTGAAGAGAGAGTCATACTTGGACTGCCTAACAAACTATTCTAAGTTCTCTACCCACACATGCCTGGGATCTACATTGAGTTTGAATGTCTGCTTGCTGGGAACTGATTTGAGATTTGAGCCACTGGAGATTGATCAGGATCTATTTTATTGGAAGCAGGTTGCCCCTCCAAACACGTACGCATGAATACATGTACTGCTCTTTTCATCCTAATGGTATGAATGCAGTCTAGGAGTGTGAGTGAGAAATGAGAATGCACTTTCTCCATAACTGTACAGTGCAGAACCAAGGGGCTGTCTTAGTTGGGATGAAGAGGCGATAGCGCTCCGTCTAGCTTTTTATGCCTATTGTAACTATACTACTGAGTCAGCTGCTTCTTCGGCATGACAACAAAACGTGTTTGTTTCTCGACTTAATTTATTTACGTCACATTTGTGATTCTAATATTCTTTAATTTGCATTTACTTTTGAGTAAGAGTGCAGAATGCAGATACTATTTCACATGTAAAAGTTGTATATTTGTTTTTTCTTTGCTCATGTTTGATTTTTTAAAATATTGTTTCATTAAAAAAGGCCTCAAATTCATTATCATGGGAATGATCTTGCATACATAAAGATGTTACTTTAATTATGATTTTATGTTGCTCTTTTAAATTTGTTTGTACATTAAGTAGGATGGATGGCTGATATTATTTGGAGGATTTGCAAATATAATCAGATCGCGTTGCCCCCCAAATGAATGGGACAGTAGAGATAAGAAATGTTACTTTATTACGCAACGAAAGCCTGAAAATGAAAAATAATTAGTAAGAATTCATTCTGAAGATATCTTTAACCTGGCCACTACACCCAGGCTCACCTGAAAAGCACAACAATAAACAATTAGATCTGAATTATCGATGGAATCCTGTGACATTAGATCGGGTTCTAACCGCACACTGTCTAAAAGCCTTAACGATACCAAAGGTGTGTTTAAGGCGGTAATATGTGAAATAATATTTTTCTTTTGTATATTAAAGCTGTAAACGTGTGAAAGTGGTTACTGAAACTGAAGATGGCTTTGCGTTTTTCCATGTCAAAGTTTGGCCTGGTGTATGTTGATCATGGTCTTTATTTTGAGTAACAATGCCTGTTTCTCCCATGACGTGAATAGCATTACAGTATTTTGGTATGATACTCGTTACTTCAAGAACTCCTCTAATATAGTTTTTTTTTTTCTCTCCACGATGGAGCGTTCTCCATCTTTCTTTGTACTAAAAGTAACCAGTGATGAATTCATGTTGCTTCTATTCAACTCCAAGTCATCAGATTGAACATGTAGACAAAATAATGAAACATTATTTGACATTGATCATATTTCATGTAAGTACACATGATTTGCATTATATCGTTACATATGGTGAATCTTAGACTTGGAACAGAAAGCACACAGTAAGTCATGTTCCATAGCTTCAGTACTGACTGCATTCATTTCCCCTGCTCAATGAAAGTGGCAATAAAGTTTATTTTTGCATAATTCTGAAAATAAGTTGGCCGATGGATTGTTTTATTTATTGGAGAGTTATGTTTCAATGAATGTTTTAGCCTAGTATCAAAACCAGTGGAGGATGCTTAGGGGAGAACGGCTCATAAATGTCTGGAACGGCGCGAATGGAATGGCATCAAACCATGTTTTATTTTTATTTTATTAGTCATTTAGCAGACGCTCTTATCCAGAGCGACTTACAGGAGCAATTAGGGTTAAGTGCCTTGCTCAAGGGCACATCGACAGATTTTTCACCTAGTCAGCTCGGGGATTAGAACCAGCGACCTTTCGGTTACTGGCACAATGCTCTTAACCACTAAGCTACCTGCCGCCTGTTTGATGTATTTGATATCATTCCACCTATTCCACTCCATTCATTACCACGAGCCCGTCCTCCCCAATTAAGGTGCCACCAATCTCCTGTGATCAAAACAAATGAAAAACCAATTAACGTGCCACCAACTTCCTGTGATCAAAACAAATGAGAAACAAAGAAGCAGATCAATATTCAGTGCGGTTTCCAGGCTATGAATGGTTTGGAATTGCAGCCAGAAGTGTACATGGTTTTGTCATTTTGGACAAGTGGGCACAAAGCCAGTCAAATAAATGACAACCTATAAACGGAATGGAAAGGTGCGTAATATTGAGACAAGCCATGTTTATACCTGGTGCTAACATGTCAAAAGGTGACAGTGTGACGAGTGACATGTTCATCACTGCTGGATGTTAAGAGGATGTGGGAAAGTGAACATAACCCACTCATCCTCTAGACCATGCTGGTTTTCTATTCTACCTGAATTATATAATTGCACACACTTTGTGTCCCAGGTCTAAAATCTGTCGCTGATTAGAGGGGAACAATGAAAAAATACAGTGGAACTGGCTTTCGAGGTCCAGAGTTTAGTTTGAAGGCTCTAGACTAGCTGTTATATAACTTTAGTGTTCAGCCAGGGATTGAGGCTATATAAACCAGCAGATACATGTCTGTGCATGTGTGGTATTTCCATAAAGGGACCAGTATCAGTGTCTATTGATATCTCTAAAGATTATCCTTGCATTACGCCTCATACTCCCAACATATTTACACTACATTACCAACTGCAGTCATTTTTATCCCAAGAAACAATTGGAAAAAGCAACAGTCATAGCAAAATATCAACTCTATTCTTATAAAAACATCCTTAGATATGTACAGTGAGGGAAAAAAGTATTTGATCCCCTGCTGATTTTGTACGTTTGCCCACTGACAAAGAAATGATCAGTCTATAATTTTAATGGTAGGTTTATTTGAACAGTGAGAGACATAATAACAACAAAAAGATCCTGAAAAACACATGTCAAAAATGTTATGAATTGATTTGCATTTTAATGAGGGAAATAACTATTTGACCCCCTCTCAATCAGAAAGATTTCTGGCTCCCAGGTGTCTTTTATACAGGTAACGAGCTGAGATTAGGAGCACACTCTTAAAGGGAGTTCTCCTAATCTCAGTTTGTTACCTGTATAAAAGACACCTGTCCACAGAAGCAATCAATCAATCAGATTCCAAACTCTCCACCATGGCCGAGACCAAAGAGCTCTCCAAGGATGTCTGGGACAAGATTGTAGACCTACACAAGGCTGGAATGGGCTACAAGACCATCGCCAAGCAGCTTGGTGAGAAGGTGACAACAGTTGGTGCGATTATTCGCAAATGGAAGAAACACAAAATAACTGTCAATCTCCCTCGGCCTGGGGCTCCATGCAAGATCTCACCTCGTGGAGTTGCAATGATCATGAGAACGGTGAGGAATCAGCCCATAACTACACAGGAGGATCTTGTCAATGATCTCAAGGCAGCTGGGACCATAGTCACCAAGAAAACAATTGGTAACACACTACGCCATGAAGGACTGAAATCTTGCAGCGCCCGCAAGGTCCCCCTGCTCAAGAAAGCACATATACAGGCCCGTCTGAAGTTTGCCAATGAACATCTGAATGATTCAGAGGAGAACTGGGTGAAAGTGTTGTGGTCAGATGAGACCAAAATCGAGCTCTTTGGCATCAACTCAACTCGCCGTGTTTGGAGGAGGAGGAATGCTGCCTATGACCCCAAGAACACCATCCCCACCGTCAAACATGGAGGTGGAAACATTATGCTTTGGGGGTGTTTTTCTGCTAAGGGGACAGGACAACTTCACCGCATCAAAGCGATGATGGACAAGGCCACGTGCCGTCAAATCTTGGGTGAGAACCTCCTTCCCTCAGCCAGGGCATTGAAAATTGGTCGTGGATGGGTATTCCAGCATGACAATGACCCAAAACACACGGCCAAGACAACAAAGGAGTGGCTCAAGAAGAAGCACATTAAGGTCCTGGAGTATCCTAGCCAGTCTCCAGACCTTAATCCCATAGAAAATCTGTGGAGGGAGCTGAAGGTTCGAGTTGCCAAACGTCAGCCTCGAAACCTTAATGACTTGAAGAAGATCTACAAAGAGGAGTGGGACAAAATCCCTCCTGAGATGTGTGCAAACCTGGTGGCCAACTACAAGAAAATGTAAGAAACGTCTGACCTCTGTGATTGCCAACAAGGGTTTTGCCACCAAGTACTAAGTCATGTTTTGCAGAGGGGTCAAATACTTATTTCCCTCATTAAAATGCAAATCAATTTATAACATTTTTGACATGCGTTTTTCTGGATTTTTTTGTTGTTATTCTGTCTCTCACTGTTCAAATAAACCTACCATTAAAATTATAGACTGATCATTTCTTTGTCAGTGGGCAAACGTACAAAATCAGCAGGGGATCAAATACTTTTTTCCCTCACTGTAAATAGCCTAATATTTTGACTTCAATTTAGAAATATTAAATGTTGTTTTGTGGTAAAAACTGCTATTTAAAAAGGGATGGTAACCAAAATGTTATACTTAATTTTATTGACAGAAAGTGATTCATCCATTGGCTTAGTTTTCTTTATTTAGCCACCATTACCATCGCTGTTAGTGAAACAATAGGTGTGGTAGGGTCTATGTCAGGATTGTGTTGAGGCACAGATCTGGGGAAGGGTACCAAGAAATGTCTGCAGCGCATTGAAGGTCCCCAAGAACACAGTGGCCTCCATCATTATTAAATGGAAGAAGTTTGGAACTACCAAGACTCTTCCTAGAGCTGGCCGTCCAGCCAAACTGAGCAATCAGGGGAGAAGGACCTTGGTCAGGGAGTTGACCAAGAACGCGATGGT